TAGTATTTAACTGGCGGGTGCGGATCATGCGAATTAAACAGTTTCTCAGTGTTACTTCATGAACTACAGGTTTAAAAGCTATGCATATGGGTTATTGACCACGTGTTCGGTCAAGATGGCTGGATATTGGCCAAGTTCTTTTTGGGTGTTAATGAACCGAGACGGAGTCGAGGTCCATAAAAGCGCAAAAAAAGAACGTGGCCAATATCCAGCCATCTTGACCGAACAAGCTTGGTCAATAAAGGATTTGGTATATTGCTTTCGGGGAAATTTTTCTTGCGGGACACGGCGGGTAGTCCCGAGCAGGCAAGATAGCTCCATCTTGCCCGCTCGGCTAGCCAATCACAGCGCAGGGTTTAATTCATCTTGCCCGCTCACGGAGCTAGCTATAGCCATATAATAAAAAAAAAATTATAGCCCGAGACCCAAATGTGGGTATATACCTCAACAGTTAAGCTCCACAAAAGACTGAGGCGGCCATATTGCATTGGCCTCTGCATGGTTTCTCATCGTTTATTAACACAGTGAATGTGTTAGATATCTAAAATAAAGAAGCATTGACNGCCCGCTCGGCTAGCCAATCACAGCGCAGGGTTTAATTCATCTTGCCCGCTCACGGAGCTAGCTATAGCCGTATAATAATAAAAAAAATTATAGCCCGAGACCCAAATGTGGGTATATAGCCTCAACAGTTAAGCTCCACAAAAGACTGAGGCGGCCATATTGCATTGGCCTCTGCATGGTTTCTCATCGTTTATTAACACAGTGAATGTGTTAGATATCTAAAATAAAGAAGCATTGACTGCCGAGCGCGGGATGGAGGGTGGAAACTTCTTTCAAAAGGCGCAAGCCTTCAAGAGCGCAATTTGAAATAATTTATAAATATCACAATTGCACGAGTTTTCATGATCATACGACGGGTCACTCATTTATTATGTGCCAGAGAAAAATACGAATGCATATGTATTAATTTATATTTCCAGTGAAATGCAAAATAATATAAAAATTTCCGAATAAATTTATCTGCTCTCAGCCAATCACAATGAACTTATTTTCTCAGCCATATAATAAAGTGAGTACTCAAAAGTTTCATTACAATCTTTGCTGCTCGCATCAAAATCACTTAGCCATGGGATGTACAAAAGTACTGATATTTCTCCTGTTACAATCTACCACTGTTTTCTGCACTGAAGAAAACTCCACATCTTCTCGTTCATCATACTTTGAAATTCGAGAAAATAAGCAGCTTAAGGGATACGTTGTCAAACGGTTTGATTCTCCCAGTTTGTTATCGTGCAGCCGACTATGTATGGAAAACGCTTGGTGTACTTCTACAAACTACAAGATGTCATCAAAGAAGGACGGCAAAGGAACTTGTGAACTGAACAAGCACGACATCTCCCTCATCAACGAAAACATCAACTTTTATGATCAGCAGGGAGTCACTTTCTCCATGATGCTAAAGGTAATGAGTGTGATGTAGTTTTGCATTTGAACTAGTCTGCCATAAAAAATGGAACCTTTAATTCTTCGCCAAACAAATTATTCCTGTTAAACGTTGAATCCGGCCTATGCAATAACATCTTTGGGCTCGTCATTGCAAGCTTCCCTAAGCCATTCCCAGAGTTTTCGTTTAATTTTATCTTTCTTTACTTTACGATTTCTTTTTTTAATCAGGGATGTTTGTTCACGACCTGCTTCAATGGGGGTTCTTGTTTGCCTGACAAGCAAAAGGAAACTTTTTCATGCTCGTGTCTAGCACCTTGGACTGGAGACAGATGTGAAGTTAAATTTGGTAATAATGATATGACCGTAATAACACATTATCACATTTCTTGGTTATCATGGCCTTCTTGTTTTTACAAGGTTGATGAGGCTCTTGTGTATCGGCCGCAAAATTGACAAGCTCATTGTCAAAATTTCATGACTGAAAAGTTGAATAATGAAGCAATATTAACAGTGTGAAACTCAAAATCAAAGCCGGCGCCAAAGTCAGCTTTCGCATATCAACTTTGAAAAGGTTGTCAACGCGTAGTAATTTTCAGAACACGTGAAAATTGTTCTAATTTTCAAGTATTTTTTAACTGAAATGTACTCCTTTCTTACATTTAACCCGATTAGATTACTGTGCGCGAGATTGGGTTCATAACGGAAATTCATGTTACTACGTCGGCACTCAGACCCCCAAATGGAGCGTTGCTCGAACGATTTGCCAGAATCTGGGAGGAGACCTCGCTATCATCAGATCACAAGACGAGAATGACTTTATTCTTGAGCTTTTAAATAACCAAAAAACGGTACAAATAGAGGGGGCATGGCTTGGTCTTAACAGAATACCATCGGCTGGAAATGCGTTTTTCTGGATCGATCACACTCCACTAGCGGGTCATTATTCTGCATGGGCAAAAGGAGAACCCAATAACCCTCGTGAGGAATGTGTCCAAATATATGCGACTTTATACAAACCTGGAAAATGGAATGACAAGGACTGCAGTTTGTCTGGCTCAGACCAGAGTAAAGTCCCAGTTGTCCTCTGTCAAAAAAAAGTCCATGTGATGACCGGGCGACGGTAATTTGGTCCTCAACTGGTAAAAAGAATGAGCAACACATTTTATTATTTTTTTCTTTGCCTTAAAGGAACTTTCAATTTAACTTCTCTACTGGGATGTATGCCATGCATGTCAGGTGCCTGAAAAAAGACTGTTTGGGAACTGTAAGGAGGCGGTCTCCCCATTGAACATTTTGCCATTTTGTCGCGACTAAACTAGTCACACTCGACACTTGCAACATATCAACGTTAATACTCCTGGTGGAACTTGTCATCATCAAACAT